TGAGACTAGTTCTCTGTTTAGCCATTACAATTAAAGCATTACATCCTACGCAGCTGCATTTTATGTCTAAAAGAAATCATAATTAAATTACGGCCGTGCCTTTGATTTATTGAAATCTAGATCGTGTCCCATTTCATTAAGTGCTTCTGACCAGAACAATGTCTTGCTTTTTGCACAGAGATTGGGCAGTAGCTACTCCTCAATTTAAAACCAATTGGGCAAAATGATCTGAATTCAGTTTCTTTTATTGAAAGCACTAACTCGCTCTTTCCTTTGTGACTGTTGTAAATTAATTTCAGTAAGTGGACTGTTCAGGTTTACTGCAGAATGACTGAGAATATTGCAAGTGGCCTGGCACCTGAAATAACTCCACAGAGGCTGGTATCCTGTCACCAAGTCACCCCTTTATTTACACGTGGAGAGCCCTTGACACTGACCCAGTTCCCTCAGAGCCAGCTCTCAGAGTGAACAGAACCTCTGACACCCCTGTTTATATCTGTCAGCCAGGGCTCCCTGATAGGATCAGATTAACTGCCCCAATCAGGGAACTCCTATTGTGTGAGGCACACCTGGCTGACCTCATTACAATCGCTACAGTACCTTGACACATTGAGCTCTCTGTGTAACGTAAGCATGTAACCTACGGGGTTGTGGGATGTGACAGGTTTTTGTGGGATCTGTTCTTGCCAGTACAGGGACTCTGATTAAAGGAGCTGGCGCAGATTTGATGGGCCAAATGGCACCTGCTGAGCCATCCTGCTCTGACATTCTGTGCTGGGATACCAATTCAGAAAACATATCTTGCACCGCACCCTCAGAAAGTGAGCATGTTACTGTGATGGTTTGAGGATAGTTTGTAGAGTGGGGACTTCATGCAGAAACCTGAGCCCGCGTTTGACATTGTTGTATGCATCGAGCAGTTAACAAAAGCAGGCATCCTGACTGATTCCCCTCCCCAAACTGCAAGGCAATGTTAGTGCCCAGTTCTTGCTTCATCTTGGTCCTTGGTGAAGCAGGAGACAAACCTCCAACCGTCAGAGTCTGTTCATAGCACATCAAGTAATAATCAGCTTTGCCAACCACGTTACCAGTAATTTGTACCAGATCAGTACAAATCAGGGTGGCACGGTGGCGCAGTGGTTAGCACTGCTGTCCCATAGTGCCAGGGACCCAGGCTTGATTCCACCATTGGGTGACTGTCTGTGTAGAGTTTGCACATTCTCCCTGTGTCTGCGTGGGTTTCCTCCGGGTGCTCCGGTTTCCTCCCACAGTCTAGGGATGTGCTGGTTAGGGTGGATTGGCCATGCTACATTGCCCCATAGTGTCCAGGGATGTGCAGTCTCGCTGGATCAGCCATGGGGAATGTGGAGTTATGGGGATGGGATAGGTCTGGGTGGGATGCTCATCAGAGGGTCGGTGTGTACTCAATGGGCTGACTAGTCTGCTTCCACCCTGTAGGGATTCTGTGTGTGTGTGTGTGTGTGTGTGTGTGTGTGTGTGTGTGTGT